AAATAATCCCCTGGTCTCAAGGGGTTTTACATTCAGCTAGAGGATAGAATGGATAAATGGAGGCCAGCATAACACATAAATGGAGGCAAAGTATTATGCATAAGCTATTGTTATTAAACCAATACAGTTTGAGAAAGAAGGGAGAATTAATTACAGGTATGTCAAGACAGGCTTCTAAAGATGACACCTGCCATGAGCCCTGAAGGAAGCTAGGAATTGTAAAAGGCAGAGGTTAGAAAGGACTGCACTCTTTTGGAAAGGCAGAGGTAGGAGAGGTCATGCTAGGTTTGGGAAAAATGAATAGATCTATTAGCCTGGAAATTCATGAAAAAGAACAGTTAAGAAATGTCTGTGAAGTTGAACCAGATTGGGGCTTATAATGCCAAACTAAAGAGTTTGTATTTTCTCCTGGATGGAACAGGGAGCCACCAAGATTCTTGAACATTAAAGTGACACGATTAGACCAATTCTTTTGGAAGACTGTCTTAGCATTAGTTTGGAGAACTGGAGAAGAGGAGTGAGGAGGGCCTGCATTAGGTTGATGGCCAAGGAAGTGAAGAATATGGGATGGCTTTGAGACATAGAGGTAGCACGAACAAGAATTGTTTGGATATGGGGAGGGAAGGGGAAATAAATGGGATGATGAGGAAGAGGGAAGAGTCAGCGATGATTCCTAGATTGTGAACCTGGGTGACTAGAAGGATGGTGATATTCTCAACAGAAATACAAAAAATTAGAGAGGCGAGTTTAGGGAATAATGGGGGTGGAGGGAAAATGGGTTGTTTTGGACATTATGAATTAGGGAAGCCAATAGATTAGAGCTGGAAAATTCCTTAGACGACACTGACTCCAGCTCCTTCATATTATAGAAGACTGAGGTTGAAATGCCTAAAGTGACTTGACCAGGATCACAAAGCAAATAAAAGAGTATGAGATAAGGTTTGAACTTAGCTATTCCTGGCTCCAAGCCCAACATTCCCTATCTACTATGCCACCTTGCTGCCAGGTGGAGTTGTCCATTAAGGACTCAGCAATACAAGACTAGAGAGTTCAGGTACAGCTACCATAATTTCAGTACCACTTGCACAGAGACAGATAAGTAATATGACATAGTGTAGAGAGAGCTGGAATGAGAGCCAAAATCTGGGTACAAGTCCAGCCTTGGACTGACTTTGACCTTGGGCAAAATGTTTAACTTTTTAGCACTGTAGGCAACTAAGACTTTAAGTTGCAGAGAAAACAATGAAACCTCTAAAGGTAGAGGTAGTTTTCTCATCTGGGAGATCTCTATACTAATGACATTACAGGTCTAGTTTGTATTCCAGCCTAATGGTAACAACTGAACCCATGGGAATTCAAGAGGCCACTGCTAGGGTTTAAAGAGAGAAGGCCCAGTATAGAGCCTAGGGATAAACCATAGTTAGAGGAGCAGGTCATAGATGATGATCTAATAATGATCCAGTGAGGCCAAGAAGGAACATACTTGTGTACATGTCATATTTCCCCAGTAGGATTTAAGCTCAGAGCACTTAATGTTTAATTGAATTTCTCTCTGTTCCCTTGGAGAGCCAACACACTAAGCACTTAGCCTGTGTAAGTTTGTTTAATTAGTTCTCTTCTTCAAACAGCTGAGACCAGGCTATTGACAGAAAGGGAGTATTTCTGGAGTGGGTCGAAGAGGAAAGAATGGGTAATTTTCCAACACAAAGTACAGAAAGAGGACATGTAATTAAAACTTGATTTTGTTTTGTTTTTTAACTTCCCTTTTTAAATGGAGAAGTTATGGTGTCTCATGGCTATAGCCAAGAATTTTCTGACTAACCCTCTAAGCTAATAGAGTTAATTTCACCTAATTATAGCAAAGTGTAACTTTCTACATTGCAGCTAGGTCAAATCAAGTAAGGCCAGACTGATATTACCCATCAATTTTTTTTGTTTGTTTTTGTTTTGGCAATTGGGGTTAAGTGACTTGCCTAGAGTCACACAGCTAGTAAGTGTCAAGTATCTGATCTGAGACCAGATTTAAACTCAGGTCCTCCTGACTCCAGAGCCAGTGCTCTATCCACTGTGCCACCTAGCTGCCCCCTATCCAGCAATTTTTTAAAAAACATCTTAAATGAATTAGAAGCAATGAATACACAATGATCTTTTCCTATTTGTAAGGATGTGAAGAGGTCATTCCTTTCTTTTACCCCTTCAGACTTAGCCTCTCCTGCTAATAAGCATCTAGCCTTTGGTTCTTCACCAAGCTAAATCTCTTCATTTTCACTCTCTGAGGAGCATCAAAGATCTGGGAAATCAAGTCCCATCACTGAGTCCACGTCTCTAACCAGTATGGGTTTATTACTGATGTAAGCAAGTCTTTGACAAGGACATGCAAAAGCAGACCTTAGAAAATGATGGCAAGAAAGACAAACGCAGAGTTTCTTTGCCAGCAGCTCACAAGGCCAGAGGGAATCAAAGAAATGAGCAATCATTTGATAAGTATATATTAAGCATCTATGGTGTACAAGGCACTGACTGGGCTGGCACTAGAGATACGAGAAGAAAGACGAAAACAATCCCTACTTGCAAGGAATATATACATTCTAATGGTGAAGATAAGGTGAATATAGAAAAGTTTATACAGAAGAAATATAAAGGAAATAATTACAATTAAATACAAAGTGGCTCAATACAGAGGAGTTTGGGGAGGAGTTAAGGGCTGAGATTTGAAGGAAAAGGAGGATTTTGTGAGGCTAAAGTGAGGAAGGAGTACTTTCCAGGCACAGCAGGAATTCCTATAAAGGTACAGAGATAGAGTGTAGTATGAAGAACAAAGAGAAGGTCAGCTTAGCTGAAACCAGAGTATGGGAAGGGAGTCAAGCACAATGAGGTTGGGGCTAGCTTGTGAAGGTACCATGGAGCAAAGGGGTTCCATAGGAGCCAGGAAGCCCTAAATTTGAATCCTACCTCAGACACTTCTTACTTCTCATCCATAAAATGTGGATAACAAGAGCTTTGCAATCTTTAAAGTGCTATACAGATGCTAGCTATTATTGTAAAGGACTTAAAAACTGTCAACAGAGGAGGTCCTATTGTTAAAAGGAAGCGACTGCAGTTTATGGAGCAGGGAACCTCTGTGTGTTCACAGGCAGGTGGCAAATCAGTGGTTCAGAGGCCAGTAACTGGCACACTGAATTGCTGTCCTACTTACTTAGCAAGCTTCCTTACGAGCTCTTTTCTAAATCACACCACAAAACCAAACATTTGCATGACCTGAAAAGAGATGCAGATCACTCATCTTCCCCAGGCTGTAGCAACTATGGAGGAAAATTACTAAGTATACCAATGGTATTATCTAGTCTCAAAGCATGCCTTGTCTCCAATTCAGGACAATTGGCCACAGAAATGTGTGGCTTCTTTTTTAACCCAAGGTGGTTCTGACATCATTCTTAATATTGTGCACAGGGTGAGGGAAGTAGAACATGTCAGACTATAAAAGAGAGGATGTCCGGACCGTGGTGACAGACAGACCTACCTCTATGTGATGGGCATGGGACTTTGGAGCAAGGCTCAAGAAGACTGGGTGTTCTCTCAATGTCCTCACAACTGACTTTGGGAGACTCTCTGCTACTCTCTAGCAATGCCAGTTAAATCAAGGGCTGAGTTTGCTATTTGTATTTCCTGGTAACAGGATCAACTGCTTGTGTGAGGCACTCATTCCTTCTCACGTATCTTGTATTTAGCGTCCAACAATTTAGGGAAACCCAGGCCTCACAAAACATCTTGGATCTATTATGCTTCTCCCCACCCCCCAAAAGATGAGCAGAAAAATGGCTGAGACATAAATCATACTGTTTGCTGAACTCGGGCCATCCTTTTCTTCACCTGTGCCTTTGTCTCCTATGCCTGAAATATTCTCTCCCACCATCTTTGCCTGTTGACTTCTTTCAAGGCCCAGATCCCTAATTCAACACAGAAGGAAGCAACCTCAAATCTCTCATATCACCTGGAATAGTTCTATTTTTATTAGAATTCTATCCCCAAGGAAGATGATACTGCTTGGCATTATGTAAAGTGTACTTGATTTGACACTAGGATATCTGGACTCGAGTCCTAGGCTGTATCATTAATTACCTAAGTGACCACAGGCAAGTTACTTTACCTGTGAGCCTCAGGCTCCTAATCAGTAAAATGGGGACAAGAATAGTTAGATCATTCTCTTCACAGGGTTGTTGTAAGGATCAAATGTGAATGCATGGAAAGTACTATTCCAGAGTAAGCTACTATCATCTTTGTATTCTATAGTATCTAAGACAGTGTCTTAGACAGAAAATACTTAATATCTATTGAATTTAACTGAACTTTTGCTGGGCAGGTTCTTGTCTTTAAAAAAAAAAGGCCAAAAAAATCTGTTCACAGTTAAATATAATACAACTTCCCTTTCTTCTGCATTTCCCCTACCTTGCACACACAGTTGTCTGAATTTTGGTGAAGTCTGGATACTCTGCCAAAAAAACAATTAAAACTCAGCCACCCTAATGAAAGTATGTTGAGAGACTGTGAAGAAATCCCTGGAATATTCTCCTTGACCTTATACTAATTTTTAAAATAATTTTTATTACCTTATTCAAAAGGAATTTGTACAAATATTACATAGTGGTTTTAAATATCAATTTATACCTAGTTACACAGCATGATTATGATTGGTTAGAAACAAAATCCCTAGCAGTTCAAGGCATTTTCAATGCATCTGTCCTTCTGATGTTATTCACCTTTCTTTCAATTTTCAACAATGACTACTATTTTGATGCTACAATTTGAACACTCTTCTCTCTTTTTTTCTTTTTGTTTTGTTGTTTTGGGGTTTTTTTAGGCAGTTGGGGTTAAGTGACTTGTCCAGGGTCACATAGCTAGTAAGTGTCAAGTGTTTGGTCTGAGGCCAGATTTGAACTCAGGTACTTCTGACTTCAGGGCCAGTGCTCTATCTACTGCACCACCTAGCTGCCCCTTCTCTCTCTTTTTTTTTTTTTAATAAAAAATGACTTCAGAAAATGATATTATAGCCTTACATAGACCTGAAGATAACTGGGCAATTTTCCTTGAACAAGTCACATTCTTCTGAGAAGAGAGACCCAAGTTTACTTTATTATTATATTAATTTTATTATTATATTAACTTTATATTAACATATTAACTTTCAAAAATTAAAAGTACACTTGCCATGTGTTAATTACAAAGTTGATACACAATTAAAGGTCAAGAATAGTGAACTGATAATAAATTGTGCACTTTTGTCAGGCAATTAGGCTGCAGCCAGCCACATCTTCCATTTATTTCTTCTTGGAATATAATTTATCTTCAAAAGGAACAGGAACAATGCCTTCACACTCTCTCACTTCCAAGGTTTGTGGGTGTTTCACAATATTCGGTCTGACCACATCAATGTCTCGGGATAAGTGTTCCATTATTTTGTCAACAGCTGTTGTTGGTGCATAAAAATCCACCAAGAAATACCTGCAATGAAATAACCAAAGCTTCAATTCAGTCATTCATCCAATTAGCATTTATTTAATACTAGTCTTTGGAGATGAAAAGTTTAGCTCCAAAATTATTTTGTTAGATTTTATTACTTTGGTCAATTCCCTCCCCTTAATCTTCTCCAAAGACAGATATCTGTTCTATTCTTTCCCTCCATGATGACGCTAGAAATCATCAAAGGGTATCCATAATCAGAGGATTTTTGCCTTAAAAAAACCCCCTTATAGCTTCAGGCTCTGCATTCTATTATCTTTTTATAACAAAAATTCTATGGAAATGTTTCCAAGTGAACACTCACACTTCAGAGCAGTAGCAAGGTATAATAGATATGGTTCTGGACTTCAAGTCAGGAGACTTATTCCACCTACTTTACATGGCTACTGTGAGGAAAGCACTTTGCAAACCTCTTTTCTGTCTTTCTCCTCCTTGGAATCTGTCATAGTATCTGATTTTGTGGACAACCCCATCCTTGATATCCTTGATTCCTGTTATCATCACTGATTTGGAATTGTAAGGGACCCTATGGGTCATGTAGTCCATATTCTTTGAAGAACAAGGAGGTTAAATGGCTAGGACTGTGTCAGTCAAAGAGGTACCAAGAGGCAAGGCTGTGATTCTAAACCAAATCCTCCAATTCCAAATTCAGCAATCTTTCCATTATACCATGCCACTGCCTCCCTTGGTTTCCCTGACACTTCCCTTTCATGGTTCTATCTCTGGGATTGCTCCTTTTGACTTGTGGCTGGCTCTTCATCCTTGGTCCACTCCTTTCACATGCCCTAAAAGTCTCTCTTAATCCCTCTTCCCTCTCCCCGCTTTCTCTTTTGTGGAGTTCATCTACTCCCACGGTTCAACAATCACCCGAATAAAAATCATTCCCAAATCTCTAGTTCCAACCTCAAGCTTTCCCAGAATTGTTATCTCCTCCTGAACACTCTGCCAGCACTTCAAATTCATGTCTAAAATGGAATATGTAATGGCATAAACCTTTCTCCTACAATTTTTGGAATCATCTTTCTTCCCCCTTGCCCCTACTCCCAGCATATAATCTCTGTCAAACCCTGCTTATCTCTCCTCCACTCCCACTGCAACTCCAAATGTTCAAGTTCTTATCTCTTCTTGTAGTGGTCTACAGATCTTTTTAATTGCCTACACCTAGCAGCAAAAAGCTGGCCTTCCCAACACATGTATATTTATCCATAAATTTTATATACACACCCATATACATACATGTGTATGAATAAATATGAAAACATATACACTCATATACTAGTACATACATAGGGATGTATATGTATGCATGTATATGTGTATGTATACATGTATCTATGCATACTACCTAAGCAGAGAGCCCAGGGACAAGATCCTATCACCTACTACCAGGTTTCTCTCTCAGTCCCCATAGTCTTCTCTAGGCAGATGCTCAAAGGGACAATCCCGAACAGTCTGTTCACCTACATTCCCCAACGGACCTCTATCCAAACTGATACTCTGCCTAAAATCACTGCTCAATATGTACCTTCCCCTTACCCCACTTTATTCTCATTAAGCCAATGATTCTGAATCCTCCAAAGCCCAAGTACAAATACAAATCCCCATTTCCTTTGCTCAGTCTTTTATTACTAACCCCTCCTCAACCCAGCAAGATTCTACACCAGAACTCTTATGTCCCTTTCACTCCTGGAATGCTCGCTCCATAAATAACACATTTCCTCTCATCTTAAACCTCTTCCTTTCTTACTCTTTCCATCTTCTGACACATTGTGAGACCTGGCTCCCTTCTGAAGACACAGTTTTCCTTGTCATCCTTTCCAGGAATGACTTGTCCTTCCTCTCATCTCCTTGACTTACAAACTGTGAGAAGAGAATCAGAAGAATACTGCTTGTTCCCATGGGCACTTCCAGACTTTCCTTCTATCACCAACACTCAGCAACCAATTCTTTTTTGAGACTTACACTACCAAACATCACCCGGTAGAGATTCTGGGGAATATCTAATGATGCTCAGGACATTTGCCTTCTTTCCTCAGTGACTTCAACATACACACTGATGTCCCTCCAAATATCCTAACTTCTCAGTTCCTTAATCCACTCAACTCACATGACATACTCCTCCACTTCAACTCACCTACTGCAAAGATGGTCACAAAACTCTTGATCTTGCCATACCCAGAAGTGTTCTTTTCCCACATTTGTGAACCCTGAAATTCTTTTGTCTGATAGTGTTTTATCAATTCATCTTTCCTTATGCCTTAAACCCTTAAGCCTATTCTCCCTACTCACCATAACTCCCATTTCCTCTAGCCCTTAGTTCTTTCAAGTTCTTTCATCACCAGTACACTGGTTACACTATTCACTCTTCCCTATGCTGACCTCTTGGTGAACCAGTTCAACTCTATGCTAACCTCTACTATCAAATGCCTTGCCTCTTTATCCTTTTATAGATCATAGCTTGCCAAATTTCGATCTTTGATTATGCCACCATTTGTCTCCTTTGTTGCTAAATGGAGTTGGTGAAAATCATAAAACTGTGTTGATTGAGTTCACTACAAATTTATATCCTCTAATTTGAATTTGGTCTTCATTGCAGGAAGATAATCGTTGTACTTCTTCTTACTATCTTACTATTTTACTCTCTACAGAGAGGTCTGCAGTGGATAAAGCACTACCAGAGGTGCGGAACCTACAGCCTTCAAGGTCACATCTAGGTCCTCAAGTGTGGCCCTCTGACTGAATCCAAACTTCACAGAACAAATCCCCTTAATAAAAGGATCTGTTCTGTAAAACTTGCACTCAGTCAAAAGGCTGCACCCAAGGACCTAGAAGGCCACATGTGGCCCAGAGGCCACAGGTTCCCCAACCCTGCTGGACCTTCCTCAGTGAGGAAAAGCTAAGTTCAATTCTTGTCAAAGGCACTAATTAGTAGCTGTGTGATCCTGGGAATGTCACTTAACCTTTTTCTGCCTCAGTTTCCTCATCTGCAAAAGAGATAAAAGCACCTGCCTCACAATCTTGCTGAGAAGACCCAACAAGAGACTAGATGTAAAGCACTCTGTAAACTTAACATACTATATAAATGTTAGCTAGCTATTAATATCTTTCCACATCTCTTCTCTCCTTAAGCCTCCCATAGCACCCTCCTACCACCCTCTCTGCTAAGAACCTAAAAGAAAAAAACGAAAGGTACTGGCTTCTTTATTTTTCCTCAGCTTACATTCTTACAACATCAGTCATACTACTGCTTGAGTTCACACTACTAATTGCTTCACTCCAATCTTGTATGAAGAGGTTATACTTCTTACCAAGTGGATTGCAACCCCTCTATATACTTAAGTTGACAGTTTCTCCAAGTTGGGCCAAAACAAAACAAAAAAATAAAAACTTAAACCATCTTATAACCAAACTGATAAGAAGTCTATCTAAACGTAGCTACACTGGTCCTTGAATGCAAAGACATACATTACTGGGCCTACACAAAAGCCTCTTTAGCTTTTCCTCCACTGGTATAGCCTTCAAGGATACAGGGTTACTTTCACACAAGGAGGTTTCAGGAGGATTATTTTTTTGCCTTGAAAAACAATTCATTTTCACATCTTTTTAAGTGTCACTGGGGAAAGGAGGTGGGTAGGCAGGGGGTGCTCTGATTCATGTTCTCCAGGCTGGGAAAGTAGTTTAGAGTGGATGGTTTGGTCTAGAACACTCATCCACAAAAAGCCAGAAACCCTAAATAGTTATGGAATTAGCCCAATCTCTGAGGCCTCAAAGAACTTAAACACAATTTGGGGCCAAGCTTTATGAAATAGCTCAAGACCAAAGCAGACTCTCTCTTATGGAGTCTAGAGCTGGTCCTTAGGTCACCCGTAGAGGCAGCAGGTGGTTACAGTGGAGAGAGTGCAGGACTGCAGTAAGGGAGAACTGAATTAAAATTCAGATTCAGGTACTTACTAGCTATGTGACCCTAGGGGAAAATCACTTAACCTCTGTTTGCCTCAGTTTCCTCAGTTGCAAAATAGGCACAATAACAGTACCTACTTCACAGGGCTATGTGAGAATCAAATGAGGTAATTTTTATAAAAGTGCTTAACACAGTGCCTAGCACACAGTAGGTGCTATACAAATACTTATTCCCTCCTTATATGGACGACAGGTGAGGACTCCAAATGACTTGGCATGTCTGTAACTACAGCTCAGATAAGTGGCAAAATCCAGGGTTGGAATATGCACAGCTTGCTCCTCAGTCACTTCTACCTTGCTATCCATTTTCTGCCACAGATAATAATACTATTTCAGCCAAACTAAAATGTGGGTTCTCAAAAACCAAGATCACTGGCTAAAATGCAAACAAGCCTGTGCCCACAACCAAAACTTATTAAAGTCATTCAGTGCTTATCATCCAGTTGGTCTTAATTTGGGTCTCCTTTGGGCAAAAACTTCTTGATTCCTTTTTACAACTCTGTGGAAATTTCCAAAAGGAGTGGGGTTAGTGCCAAGAAAGAGATTACATTGCACTCACTATTCTGGCTAAAAGCAGAACCCTCCCCTCTTTGTGGGCAGAAAGGAGCTGGGGAGAGGAGAGACAGTCAATAGCAAGCTATGACTGGAGCAGGCCCAGGGAGGGCTTGGCATCATTCCAGCAGATGATCATGTTTAACAGTTACTAGACATCAATCAGGGCCCACAGGACCCAATCTGTCCTATATGGATCAAATATTTAACAATCCATTATAGCATTTCCTTAGCTCTTTTTCTCTTGGGGGTAAACTTATCAATGAATGAATGAATCTATCAATATTTACTTAGCCTTTACTGGTGTACATGCAAACCATATGCAAGGCACCATACTAGGTACTTTTGTGAGGGCTAAGGAGTATGAGATATATATAGAAAGGTGTGAGAAATGGACCCTCATTTCAATGATTTTATAATCTATTTTAGGAAGATATCACTTATAAATTCTTTTAAAATTAACAATAGCA